CCCCAAAACCCCAAAACCCCAAAACCCCAAAACCCCAAACATAAGGTTGCCGGTGGATTACAAAAATAATTTAAAAATTTAAATTTCAAAATAATAGACAAGACTATGGAAAAGGACCTCCAGATGTTCCAAAGACATTATGAACCGAACAAAGAAAATGGTAACGTGTGGATTTTAAAGGAAAGCTCCTGAGCATAACTTATTTGGGATATAGAATCGCCAGAAGTACACAGGATTAGTCAGCACCCTTTTTACAATGTTGAAGGCAGCAATCATGGTAATTTTATACAAAATTTTTGAAGCCTTAATACCAGTTTTAATACAACATAGCAGAAGAGGATCAGAAAAGTCATTATTACACAAAGAAGGAGGAATATAATGCTAGGTATTATCGCCATAAAGAGAAGGAGAATGGTTATAAGCCTCCACCTAGTGAACATGAGAGTAGCTTAGTAATCCATATCGTTTACCTAATAGTATTGCTCATACGACCCCAAAATCAAACATAAATATCAGCATGATTATAGTTATTCAGAGAAATATGATAAATTAGGCTCAACCACTAAGGAAGTTAATTCTCATCCTTATCATAAGAGCTATGAGGAAAGCAAAAGAAACTTTGTTAGCTCTAAAACTACAGCCAAATTCCCCGATGCGTTTGAGTCCTCACTCGATTCCATCAAACTTCAGAGTAAGTTCTACTTACTTATCATAGATATTGAATATCAGAACAAGGACTTAAAGATGGAGAGAGGTTACGAAAGAAGGTCTAGACCAGAAGAAGTTGATGACATGAAGTCTTACAATATTCCTCCAGCCGAGGAAGGATCTCCTGAGACAACAAGGTATAGACCTTCTCAGTCCTCTCCTCAATCTTCTAAAGATGAAGGCTATCCTCAATACGACCTCAGTGAGATAGAGCTCCCTGCTTACTGTAATGATCACCCAGATAGCAAATTATTGTACCTAACTCAGGACGGAGATGATGAAATTCTTTGCTGAGTTTATTGTGCCCTCGAACAAAAACAAAAGTACCCAAACTGCAATGTAATTGAGATAAGCGATTACCTACAAGACTTGATCAAGAAGACTAAGGAAGTATGTGCTAAGCCTTCTGGGTCCTCTCATGAGACTAATTCCGTCTGCTCTCAGATAATTTCTGAAAATGATAAAGAAATTTCAAGGATAAAGGAGTACTACAGCAAGGTTATGGAAGCCCTTGCTTTAGAAAGAGATGAAAAGATCAAAGAGATTGGCAAGGTAACAAACAAGAATATATCCAAAGCTAACTCTACTGACTCCCCTAGTCTTAATGAGAAGGTTAAAAACTTTGAAAATGAGCTTCTGAAGGTCATTTCGGGGGTGAAGGAAACCGGAATTCATATTAAAGAGCTCCAAAAGATCAGATATGACTACGATGAGGTCTTATCAGATACTGAGCAGGAGTCTACCATGCCTGAATCAGATCAAATTATAGAAAAGTATGAATTCGTAATGCTCAGCTCGGAAGCACTTCAAGAGTTGGCCAATAAATTGGGGCATTTTAGAATTAGAGAAGTAAAACTTTCGGATTACGACAAGCTTTACAAAAATCCTCAATATTACAGCAATACGAGGAATAATGAGATCATCCAGAGAGATGAAGTACCTACTTTTGGAATGAGCAATGAAATCACTGGTTTAGCTAAAGAAAGAAAAAGAGTCGTGACAAGTGGTGTTATTCCCAGAAAAGATTACGACCGTGATGACTCCAACCCACTCAAGGTGATTGAGTCCAGCACAAAGTAAGGCATAAAGATAAATTATTATTTTCGATTATTCTTCTGCTTAATTTTGTAACTTTTGTTTATCTCCAAGCTACGACTGCCAAATCAAAATTTTAACTGAAATATAGCTTAATGAGGAACTCCAATTTCCAGAAAAACGCCCAAAGAAATATTCATAAGGAAAATTTTGGAAATATTGATCCAATTCCTCCTTCAGCAGTGAGCTATTTCCAGAATAGTTCTCAAAACTTTGACAAATATAATCAGAGCAAGAATGAGGAAAAGAGAAGCAAGTCAATAGAGGGAACTTCTTTTAGAGAAAGAGACAGCGGTATAGAATCAGGAATGTATAAGTACAATGATGAGAATGCAATCCCTCCTCCTACCTATAAAGACTTGTATTCCACTGGGGCAGGCAGTCCAGTGAATATACTTTATAACGGAGGATCCTTCAGAAATACCGATGTGAGAGAATACATCCCAAACCCAAAGACATTGAAAGAAAACCTTCCTAAACCCAAGAGCGAATCTAGAAAATCAAAGCACAAGACTTATAAAATAAAACGATTCTAGCTTCCTATAACAGAATAATTCAACCTAACCAACTTCGAAGGGGTTTTGGGGTTTTGGGGTTTTGGGGTTTTGGGG